ACAACAGTCATCATAAAAATAAATATTGCAAGCAAAAAAAATCTTCAAAAAATAAATTATTTTTTAATGAGTCAGCAAAAATTTTGAAAATAAGCTAAAAAGGAAAACACGGTTATTAAGAGATCTATATTTAGTATCAGTATGAAATTTTCTACAGTAAAATAATATATACTTATATAGGGCTTAAAGCAAAATTTTTAAAAATTGATCAACCGTTCCAAAATGGCGGAGGTTCTTTTAATTTTAATTTTTTCAGATAAATAGTTTAATGCTTAGTGACTGACTTCTCATTAAGTACTTGAGTATATAGCTTTATTCTGCTTTAGGCACTAGTGCTCTATAAGTTAAAAAATGTTGAAAATTTCAAGACGAAAGCTCAAATAGAATTTCCAAAATCTATGTTTTCGTTAATCTACATTAAGATTTCGGAAAACTAAGAAAACAATACATAGCAGCCGTGGCGCAGTGGAAGCGCACTTGCCTCAGAAACAAAAGATTCGTGTTTCAAACCCCACCTCCGCGCAAGTTTTGAGACATCGATTGGGAAGGAGCCGTGATTTTCCTATCAATGGATATATATATATATATATCAAAGAAGGCGTGAATTTCCTGTATGCTCTTCCGTGGTGCTCTGACCGTAAGGACTTCTTGGGGCACCTAAATTTCGAAGTGTTTTTTGATTGAAACTGTAATTGTTTTTGTTCCAAAAGATAATTTATTTTTATCAAAAAGTTATACAAGTCCAGATGCCATCATTAAAACTTATTATTGCAGATGCAACTCCAATTTCTAAAGTGGTTTTTGAAATAAAAGTTTCTTTTGGACACCTTTTACACTCAATTTGATTCAAAGCCTCATTTGGGTTTTGAATGGATCCATCGTAACAGTAACAAAAGATCATCGCTACGTAAATCCTTAAAAATTGGATACATTACAGTCTTCACTGCAGTTGGTAAATTAACTGATAGTTTGTATCGCTTGATATTTTTCCAATAATTACACCAACTATCATTAGTGTGAGGACAAAACTGGTGACAGACTCCAGTATCTTCAATATTAGTGTACCGCAAAAATTATTAAAACAAAATTTTTACCATTTTTAAAAACCCTTGTTTTTTTAAATAAAAAATAAAAAAAATACAATGACAATATATATTTTTAAAACCTATAATAAATTTTAAATAAAAAAAAGTTAAAAAAGAATACTAATTTTTCATGTTTTTTTACCAGCTTACCACATTAACTAATAAAATGCCGTTTAACCCATTTTAATCAGTGTAATTTATATTTTAACTGTCATTCTTTTAAAAATCCAAACTACTTTGGCTACCACCGGATTAGCAGTGCTTTGGCCACATACTATTTTAAGTAACAATAAACAACAACGCAAAAAGTAACAATGGAGAAATACCTTTATATGATTATACATCAAAATGATAACTGTCTCATCTATCCGATTTGATAAAAAAAGTTTATTATGTAAATTATTGTGATTAATATATTTTACTATATTGTTAAAAAAATGTTCTATATATTCAGTTACCCTTCTATAACTCCTATATTGTTTTAAATTAAAAGTTATTCCAAATTCAAAAGTGAAAAATATCAAAACAAAACTGTGAGACAAAAAAAGATTTGAATTTCAAAAACATTGAGAAAATTATATCTTTTAGAGAATAATAAAATCTAAATATTTGTATTAAGTATAATTTTATTAATTTATATTATATTATTATTTCATTGCAGCCGTGGCGCAGTGGCGCAGTACTTGCCTCAGAAACAAAAGATCCGTTGTTCAAACCCCACCTCTGAGCAAGTTTTGCGACATCGGTTAGGAAGGATAAGTGACCTTCCTATTAAATGCTCATCCGCGGTGCTCTGTGACAATACCGTAAAAACTTCTTGGGGCACCTAAATAAAACTTAAAAAAAATACTAAAAAAAAAAAAATTGTAAGAAGTTATTCCAAAACTCTACTTGTAAAAAAAAAGTATTTCTAATTCTAATTCTAGAATTCTAATTCTAACATTCTCAAAATCAATCTATTAATGATTTATGATAAAACCTAAAACACGAAGAAAATTCATTTCACTTTAAAATATTAATACTAGTATATCCAGAGCCGTGGCTAGGCTCCCCTCCCCCAACCACACACAAATACTGTATGGGGGAGAAGCAGCAATTTTAGGGGATCTATTTGCAAATTTAAGGGCTCTTTTTGCAAGTTTTTTTTTTTTTTTTTTTTATTGTAATACCTAGTGAAAAAGTTTTTAAGAGTTTGGGGCTCTATTGGCTGGTTTTAGGAAAAAAGAGGGCTCCGGTCTACTAGACATGGCCCAGAGACTCGGGTCTACATCTAGTACCTGCAGCAGGTAAAGAAACTTAAGTATACTAAGATTGATTTAAAAAAATTAATCTAGAACCACTATAAAATGAAAGTTTTAAGAACGCCTAATGTACACATGTTGTAAATGAATAGCATGCAACTCTGTTCTAAGATAAAATAATAATAAATAACACACAAAAAATAACAGTTCTATTTGTGTTATATCCGCCGTACATTAATTAGGTAACCTAATTAACAGTACGTTTTGCACCTTCTAACATCGTGTGCAATTCCTGTCCGCTGTCTCTATGCAATCTTTCTAACACAACTGCTTTTATCTTTTAGTCTAATATATTATTGTTCTTAATAAACTAACCTTACTTTTTGTCCTTAGAGTGGGTTATGACGCTCTTTGGGGAGCCGAACTTGGCTTTGCGGACCTAAAAAAGGTCTAGTTGTCATACAGAAGTCACAATATATATGTATAAAGATTCTGAAAAGTGAAAAGGAGTTTTCGATGTATACCCTAACCCTGACCCTAACTCTGATGGATTTGTGTTATTTAATCCAAATTTTCCTGATATGGATGTAAGTTAAAAGTACTTAATTTTAACTTTTTTACTTAAAATTTGTTTTTACATTTGAAATTTATATTTGAATTACATTTGAATATATATATATATATTCTAATAAATAAGACAAACCTTTTAATTTTTGTTAGAATTATTTATTTTGTAAATACATGTTTCGGCTATATCATAGACATCATCGCTTAAAATACTTTAATCATAAATTCTTAAATCAAATTATTAGAATTAAGTTGAACTAATAGAAATCTTATAATAAAAATACAATAAAAATGCAATTAAAATGTTTTAAAAAGATAAAAGAACCGGTAATGTTAAAAGAAACTAGATTGAAATTGTCATTTTTACATGGTTCATTTGTTCATTAATAGTGGGTTTTTCCAGCATGTACATAGCATGCATTCTTTAAGTTTTAATATAAATTTGTTGGAGGCCGAATCCAAATTGAAAAACTAGGATGATTAAAACTGTTAAAACAGCTTTCATTTGAATGAACACGTTTATAAATGAGTCAGTTTTTATCCCTTTTTTAATGCTCGATTTTTCGTGTCTTTAAATGGCGAGTAGTTTCGCCAAGTTAACAGGATTAGCAGCCTGCGCGTTCAAATTTATAAACAACGAATGAATATAAAAAACAAATGAAAAGTCTGTAGGAAAGGTATCTTTAGTGGAAAAAAAAATTAAAATTTTAAATGAAGTAAAAACCAATCTTACAGTGACCGATTTACAAAATCTTTTATAGATTGCGTATATAACTTATACGCAATCATTAAAATTTTATCATTAAAAGATTATATATAAAAGATAAAAACTTTCTTATTTTATTAAAATATCGAAAAATTTTATTTTATTTTATTCATGCGCTTGACGAGCGGTTTAAAATTTGTTCATAATCAAAAATACTTATTCAAAATTTAAATTTGTTTATATTTCTAATGTATTCTCTTGAGTAACAATAATTACTTATGACTTTTGTGACAATACCTTGGGTTGTTTTTAAAAAAATAAATTTATTAAAAAATATTTTTTTTTTAAATGATCGATGTTGATATTCTTTAATTATTTTGTTTTACTTTGAAATTTTGAAAGTTTTAATATTTATTGGACATAATATATATATATATATATATATATATATATATATATATATATATATATATATATAATATATATATATATATATATATATATATATATACACATTTTTTTTTCTTTAGTGCTTACTGTCCGTTCAATATTTGGTGTTCAACCAACTGCAGATATGTTCTTTATGCGAGAAAAACAACTTTTGAAAATTCATCAATATTTCAACGATTAACAAGATAATAGAAACTCAACTTTAGTATTATACGGAATATCTGGTGCCGGGAAGCCACAACTTACCAGAAAATATTGTGAAATTCATCATGACTTTTATGAACATTTTGTTTGGATAGATGCAGGATTTGGAAAGTTACATACTTCAATGATAAACCTTTATGAACTATTAGGATTTGTTGTTCAAGATTCTTAAGGCAATTCTTTTAATATAGAAGTGATTGTTAAGAAAATTCACAACTATTATAAAAACGATAAAACTCTGTATATTTTTGACAATGTCGACGATGAAAGCGTTCGAAATTTGGGAATGTTTATTTCAAAGAAACCGAATTCATTTACTTTAATTACAACTCAATGGAGAAGGTGGTCAAATAAAGTAAATCAAATGTTAATCGATGTTTTTTCTTCTAAAGAGGCTTCCGAGTACGTAAAAAATAGTATAAAAGAAAACACCGACGAAAGTATAAAAAACCTAATTAAAGAACTTAGTTATCATCCGTTCGCTATTACTCAAGCAATAAAATATATAGAGATACATAAAATTTCCACACAAAAATATATAGATCGATATAAATCAAATCCTATAGAAATACTAGATGATGAATACTTTCCAACGGAAGAAGAATCAAAGTCTGCTATAAAAGCAATCAATTTAGATTTAAAAAAATTAGAAAGAAAATAATTATTCCATTAAAATTACTCAACTGTTTATCTTATTGTAATGGTCAAAGCATAAATAAAGAATTTATCACTCAAATCATAGAACAAATGACAGGAAATGAAGATTATTTAATAGATGAAGCCGTTGGATTACTAATAAGATATTCTTTGCTAGATCGTTTAGATGATGAAAAATATTCAATGCACGAACTGACACAGTTGTCGTGTAAATATTTTCAAAACAAAAACTCAAGTACAAATACATATTTTTATCTAATGGAAAAATATTTTCAATTTGAGTTAAACGAAGTAAAAGCTCACGTTGATCACGGAAAGCACTTTATATTTCATTTTTTCCACATGTTTCGTATTAACAAAAAAAGAATGTCAAAAACCTTCCATCAGATGACGACATCTATTCAAACTCTATTAGTATGTAAAGGTTTATTTCAAGAAGCAATCAAAATAGTAAAAAGTATTAAAAAATTTAATGCAGAAACATATAGAGAGAATAATAAATTCACAACTGATACAAAACATAATATCGCAAGCTGTTGGATCTATATGGGAAAATATAACGAAGCTTTAGAAATTTATTATTCTATTGATAAAATACAAACTGAAATTTTAGGTATCAACCATCCAGATACAATGTCAACAAAAGTTAATATCGCAAGCTGTTTGAACGCTATGGGAAAATATAACGAAGCTTTAGAAATTTATTATTCTGTTGTTAGAATCTTAACTGAAATTATAGGTATCAACCATCCAAATACAATGTTAACAAAAGTTAATATCGCAAGCTGTTTGGACGATATCGGAAAATATAACGAAGCTTTACACATTTATTATTCTGTTGATAAAATACGAACTGAAATTTTAGGTATCAACCATCCAAATACAATGAGAACAAAAAATAATATCGCAAGCTGTTTGTACGCTATGGGAAAATATAACGAAGCTTTAGAAATTTATTATTCTGTTGATAAAATACAAACTGAAATTTTAGGTATCAACTATCCAGATACAATGTCAACAAAAAATAATATTGCAAACTGTTTGTCCGCTATGGGAAAATATATCGAAGCTTTAGAAATTTATTATTCTGTTGATAAAATACAAACTGAAAATTTAGGTATCAACTATCCAGATACAATGAAAACAAAAAATAATATTGCAAACTGTTTGTCCGCTATGGGAAAATATATCGAAGCTTTAGAAATTTATTATTCTGTTGATAAAATACAAACTGAAACTTTAGGTATCAACCATCCAAGTACAATAGGAACAAAAAATAATATAGCAAGCTGTTTGTACGCTATGGGAAAATATAACGAAGCTTTAGAAATTTATTATTCTGTTGATAAAATACAAACTGAAATTTTAGGTATCAACCATCCAAATACAATAGGAACAAAACATAATATCGCAAACTGTTTGTCCGCTATGGGAAAATATAACGAAGCTTCAGAAATTTATTATTCTGTTGATAAAATACGAACTGAAATTTTTGGTATCAACCATCCAAATACAACGAGAACAAAAAATAATATCGCAAGCTGTTTGTACGCTATGGGAAAATATAACGAAGCTTTAGAAATTTATTATTCTGTTGATAAAATACAAACTGAAATTTTAGGTATTAACTATCCAGATACAATGTCAACAAAAAATAATATTGCAAACTGTTTGTCCGCTATGGGAAAATATATCGAAGCTTTAGAAATTTATTATTCTGTTGATAAAATACAAACTGAAATTTTAGGTATCAACTATCCAGATACAATGTCAACAAAAAATAATATTGCAAACTGTTTGTCCGCTATGGGAAAATATATCGAAGCTTTAGAAATTTATTATTCTGTTGATAAAATACAAACTGAAATTTTAGGTATCAACCATCCAAATACAATGAGAACAAAAAATAATATCGCAAGCTGTTTGTACGCTATGGGAAAATATAACGAAGCTTTAGAAATTTATTATTCTGTTGATAAAATACAAACTGAAATTTTAGGTATCAACTATCCAGATACAATGTCAACAAAAAATAATATTGCAAACTGTTTGTCCGCTATGGGAAAATATATCGAAGCTTTAGAAATTTATTATTCTGTTGATAAATTACAAACTGAAAATTTAGGTATCAACTATCCAGATACAATGAAAACAAAAAATAATATTGCAAACTCTTTGTCCGCTATGGGAAAATATATCGAAGCTTTAGAAATTTATTATTCTGTTGATAAAATACAAACTGAAATTTTAGGTATCAACTATCCAGATACAATGGAAACAAAAAATAATATTGCAAACTGTTTGTCCGCTATGGGAAAATATATCGAAGCTTTAGAAATTTATTATTCTGTTGATAAAATACAAACTGAAACTTTAGGTATCAACCATCCAAGTACAATAGGAACAAAAAATAATATAGCAAGCTGTTTGTACGCTATGGGAAAAAATAACGAAGCTTTAGAAATTTATTATTCTGTTGATAAAATACAAACTGAAATTTTAGGTATCAACCATCCAAATACAATAGGAACAAAACATAATATCGCAAACTGTTTGTCCGCTATGGGAAAATATAACGAAGCTTCAGAAATTTATTATTCTGTTGATAAAATACAAACTGAAATTTTTGGTATCAACCATCCAAATACAACGAGAACAAAAAATAATATCGCAAGCTGTTTGTACGCTATTGGAAAATATAACGAAGCTTTAGAAATTTATTATTCTGTTGATAAAATACAAACTGAAATTTTAGGTATCAAATCTCCAGATACAATGTCAACAAAAAATAATATTGCAAACTGTTTGTCCGCTATGGGAAAATATATCGAAGCTTTAGAAATTTATTATTCTGTTGATAAAATACAAACTGAAACTTTAGGTATCAACCATCCAAGTACAATAGGAACAAAAAATAATATAGCAAGCTGTTTGTACGCTATGGGAAAATATAACGAAGCTTTAGAAATTTATTATTCTGTTGATAAAATACAAACTGAAATTTTAGGTATCAACCATCAAAATACAATAGGAACAAAACATAATATCGCAAACTGTTTGTCCGCTATGGGAAAATATAACGAAGCTTTAGAAATTTATTATTCTGTTGATAAAATACGAACTGAAATTTTAGGTATCAACCATCCAAATACAATGAGAACAAAAAATAATATCGCAAGCTGTTTGTACGCTATGGGAAAATATAACGAAGCTTTAGAAATTTATTATTTTGTTGATAAAATACAAACTGAAATTTTAGGTATCAACTATCCAGATACAATGTCAACAAAAAATAATATTGCAAACTGTTTGTCCGCTATGGGAAAATATATCGAAGCTTTAGAAATTTATTATTCTGTTGATAAAATACAAACTGAAATTTTAGGTATCAACCATCCAAATACAATGAGAACAAAAAATAATATCGCAAGCTGTTTGTACGCTATGGGAAAATATAACGAAGCTTTAGAAATTTATTATTCTGTTGATAAAATACAAACTGAAATTTTAGGTATCAACTATCCAGATACAATGTCAACAAAAAATAATATTGCAAACTGTTTGTCCGCTATGGGAAAATATATCGAAGCTTTAGAAATTTATTATTCTGTTGATAAATTACAAACTGAAAATTTAGGTATCAACTATCCAGATACAATGAAAACAAAAAATAATATTGCAAACTCTTTGTCCGCTATGGGAAAATATATCGAAGCTTTAGAAATTTATTATTCTGTTGATAAAATACAAACTGAAATTTTAGGTATCAACCATCAAAATACAATAGGAACAAAACATAATATCGCAAACTGTTTGTCTGCTATGGAAAAATATAACGAAGCTTTAGAAATTTATTATTCTGTTGATAAAATACGAACTGAAATTTTAGGTATCAACCATCCAAATACAGTGAGAACAAAAAATAATATCGCAAGCTGTTTGTACGCTATGGGAAAATATAACGAAGCTTTAGAAATTTATTATTCTGTTGATAAAATACAAACTGAAATTTTAGGTATTAACTATCCAGATACAATGTCAACAAAAAATAATATTGCAAACTGTTTGTCCGCTATGGGAAAATATATCGAAGCTTTAGAAATTTATTATTCTGTTGATAAAATACAAACTGAAATTTTAGGTATCAACCATCCAAATACAATAGGAACAAAAAATAATATAGCAAACTGTTTGTCCGCTATGGGAAAATATAACGAAGCTTTAGAAATTTATTATTCTGTTGATAAAATACGAACTGAAATTTTTGGTATCAACCATCCAAATACAATGAGAACAAAAAATAATATCGCAAGCTGTTTGTACGCTATGGGAAAATATAACGAAGTTTTAGAAATTTCTTATTCTGTTGATAAAATACAAACTGAAATTTTAGGTATCAACTATCCAGATACAATGTCAACAAAAATAATATTGCAAACTGTTTGTCCGCTATGGAAAAATATATCGAAGCTTTAGAAATTTATTATTCTGTTGATAAAATACAAACTGAAAATTTAGGTATCAACTATCCAGATACAATGGAAACAAAAAATAATATTGCAAACTGTTTGTCCGCTATGGGAAAATATATCGAAGCTTTAGAAATTTATTATTCTGTTGATAAAATACAAACTGAAACTTTAGGTATCAACCATCCAAGTACAATAGGAACAAAAAATAATATAGCAAGCTGTTTGTACGCTATGGGAAAATATAACGAAGCTTTAGAAATTTATTATTCTGTTGATAAAATACAAACTGAAATTTTAGGTATCAACCATCCAAATACAATAGGAACAAAACATAATATCGCAAACTATTTGTCCGCTATGGGAAAATATAACGAAGCTTCAGAAATTTATTATTCTGTTGATAAAATACAAACTGAAATTTTTGGTATCAACCATCCAAATACAACGAGAACAAAAAATAATATCGCAAGCTGTTTGTACGCTATTGGAAAATATAACGAAGCTTTAGAAATTTATTATTCTGTTGATAAAATACAAACTGAAATTTTAGGTATCAACTATCCAGATACAATGTCAACAAAAAATAATATTGCAAACTGTTTGTCCGCTATGGGAAAATATATCGAAGCTTTAGAAATTTATTATTCTGTTGATAAAATACAAACTGAAACTTTAGGTATCAACCATCCAAGTACAATAGGAACAAAAAATAATATAGCAAGCTGTTTGTACGCTATGGGAAAATATATCGAAGCTTTAGAAATTTATTATTCTGTTGATAAAATACAAACTGAAACTTTAGGTATCAACCATCCAAGTACAATAGGAACAAAAAATAATATAGCAAGCTGTTTGTACGCTATGGGAAAATATAACGAAGCTTTAGAAATTTATTATTCTGTTGATAAAATACAAACTGAAATTTTAGGTATCAACCATCAAAATACAATGAGAACAAAAAATAATATCGCAAGCTGTTTGTACGCTATGGGAAAATATAACGAAGCTTTAGAAATTTATTATTTTGTTGATAAAATACAAACTGAAATTTTAGGTATCAACTATCCAGATACAATGTCAACAAAAAATAATATTGCAAACTGTTTGTCCGCTATGGGAAAATATATCGAAGCTTTAGAAATTTATTATTCTGTTGATAAATTACAAACTGAAATTTTAGGTATCAACCATCCAAATACAATAGGAACAAAAAATAATATAGCAAACTGTTTGTCCGCTATGGGAAAATATAACGAAGCTTTAGAAATTTATTATTCTGTTGATAAAATACGAACTGAAATTTTTGGTATCAACCATCCAAATACAATGAGAACAAAAAATAATATCGCAAGCTGTTTGTACGCTATGGGAAAATATAACGAAGTTTTAGAAATTTATTATTCTGTTGATAAAATACAAACTGAAATTTTAGGTATCAACCATCCAGATACAATGAGAACAAAAAATAATATCGCAAGCTGTTTGTCCGCTATGGGAAAATATAACGAAGCTTTAGAAATTTATTATTCTGTTGATAAAATACAAACTGAAATTTTAGGTATCAACCATCCAGATACAATGAGAACAAAAAATAATATCGCAAGCTGTTCAATAAATCTTTTTTTCCTATACTGCAGTTATTAAAAAAAATTGAACTAGCTGTTAATTTCTTGATTATCCCAGTAAGCACAAGACGCATTTTACACACTTATAGACGTCTAAAACTAGTCTAGTTAAAGACGCACTTTTATAGACGTTTTGAAGACATCTTTTAGACGTCTTTTATGAATGCGTTTTTTAAATGACGTTTAATAGGCGTCTTTTTAAAAGATAAAAAGACGTCTAGAAGTCGTCAATTTTTAAGACATCTTCTAGACGTCTTTTATAAAGGCGTTTTTAAAATGACGTTTAAAACGCGTCTTTTTAAAGTTTAAAAAGACGTTTAAAAGACGCATAATAAATAGTTTAAAAGACGCATTAAAAGACGTCAAGATCAAGGCTAAAAGACGTCTTTTGTGAGACCTGTTTATAAATATGTCATTATGACTTCTTTTTGACGGCTTTGTCATTACGCGTTAAGTAGATGTCGTATATTCAAAGTAAAAACATAGTTTTTATTATTTTCAATAATTTGTTCAAGTTTTAAGTGTAAATTACTTTAAATTAAATTACTTTTTTACACAATTGCTAAAATTGTTGTCACAGGAATCACTAAAATAATTGCTATAATATTAATATATCTTTTTTTTATTAATAATTATTTTGCTTTTTTAATAGATAGTTGACTGATCATGATAATAAGTGAAAATGGCAAGAATAATATATAAGTTAAATATCAGTATTTTAAATTTTTATACACCCACAAGCCATATAATAATCAAATATGCGGTCAAAAATTAGCTTTCATACATGCAGGATAAGATTTCCTAAAACTAAAGGCAAGTTATAAATATATTATACACTGTTATGATATATATTTGTTAATGTTAGTGATCATTTTCATCTTTGAAGCATCAACCGTTGGTGGTGATTACAGCAATATTATTTTTATTGCTGGTTCCTATATATATTTTGTATATACGAAATTAAAACTATATATGATGTCATAAATACAATGAATTTATACCACATACTGCGCAAAAATGTTACGTCATGTACTTGAATTTATCTCGAAAAAAACGTTTAAAATACGTCTAAAACGCGTTTTTATAAAGACGTCTTCATTTAGACGTCTTTTAGCCTTATGATCTAGACGTCTACAAGTGCGCCTTTTAGACCTCCTTAAAGACATCTTTAAAACGTCTTTTAAACGTCTTTGTGCTTACTGGGATTATTTTATTTAGTAAGTAAATGTATATATATATATATATATATATATATATCTATATATATATATATATATATATATATATATATATATATATATATATATATATATATATATATATATATATATATCAGGGGCTATTCTAGCCCGTTTTCGACAGCGCCGACCGTATTTGGGCGCCGATTTGGGCGCCGCTCAAATTCAGGTAATTGAAGACCTTTTTTTTAAATTTATTTAACATATATGTAAATATTTATAAATATGATAGAGAAATATATATATATATATATATATATATATATATATATATATATATATATATATATATATATATATATATATATTTATTAGGCATTAATTTTGAATAGATCCGTCTTGCAGCCGTTATATAAAAATAAGTTATTAATAATTCTTTTTCCGGCCAATAAATCGTTTTCCGGCCATTTTGAAATCATCTATATCAGAGTTTAGATGCGCGAAGTATTTAAAGTTATAAAATATTTGGAAACACTCGAAGTTTGTAGAAAGGTATCGACGATTTAAAAAAATGGCTGCTGGTCGCCCAAAATTTACTTCAATCAGCCATAATAAAAAATCTAGCACATATTTGACATCTACTCGTCTAGAAGTAGAGATTACGCCTGTAAAACCAAAGACGAATATAGAAAAATTTTTTATTCCAAAAAAAAAAGAAACTTTGCCAAAAAGAGCGCGATTTGATGACGGTGGTATTGATTTCATTAAAAAGACAGTGATACCAATTCCACCAAACCACGTAAGAACTTTTTATATATGTGAAATATTTATCAACAGTTTTCTTAATGATTGTTTTTATCTTTTTAATTGGGCATTTTATTAATTTTCTTAAATTTTATTTAATTTTTTAAGGCATTCTTTAATTTTGAATTTTATCTTCTAAAATAACGATTGTCACAATTTAATCTGGTGAAACGCGTATTAATTTATGGTTTTTTATTTTGAAGAGACTTGGACAAAACTTTTCAATTTAGCGCGTATATTCACCGGACCACCAGTACCATTGTTTTTAAAGTTCGTACATTAGTAAACGCATTTAGGTTGATTAAAGTAGTAATGTTTTTTTATTTAGCTTATATTTATTTGTTTTAATTTTTGGCAAAAATATGGCAATAATTATTTTAAAGATTTTTTTTTATTAACTACATCAACAGCAGTTTCATACAATAATTATTTTATACATGGAAGTTATACATATAAGTTATGGACTCAATGAGATTAGTAAGTTTGTTGCAGTAAATATGTGGGTTTTTTTCCCCATAAACATTTGTGATCTAGTAAATTTAAGGTAATTTGGCTATTTGTTAATTTATTTTTATTTCAGTGAAACTTCTGTGCAATATTTATTTTTAGGTAGCAACTTCCTTATAAAATTTATGTCACAGATCATTTTAACAGAAATGAATTATAGTGAATTATTTCAAATACATTTAAACATAATAATAAAGCTAAAAACTAACTAAATTTTTGTTTATCTAAAAACAAAAATTTTGAAATTTTCTAAACATGTTTCGGCCCCCCCCCCATACTTAAATTTTAAGAGGGGGGAGTGAGGCAGAGGGGTACCGCCGCCCAAATTATTTTCCTAGAATAGCCCCTGTATATATATATATATATATATATATATATATATATATATATATATATATATATATATATATATATATATATATGTATATATATATATATATATATATATATATATATATATATATATATATATATATATATAATATATATATGTGTGTGTGTGTGTGTGTTTGTTTGTTCAGCTGGTTTAAATGATTAAAGTAATAAGTATTCCCTATGGGGATTGGAAACCGTTTTTTAATAGGAATTGTTTGGAATGTTTAATTAAAATATTAAGTAATTGCTAATAAACCATTTATTGTTTAAGATAATTTTAGTTTTATTAAAGTTTACAATATACAATTTAAATGATAAATAATATGTAAATGTAGTAGTTAACATAAAACATTTTTGTTAGTTTTCGTCATGTTTTACTTGGTATTATGAATATAGTTTAACGCCATATGAAAATATTTTTTTGAAATAATTTACGCGCGTAAAAACTTTAAAATCTGCTCACTAAAAAGTCAAAATATTGCATACGGTCAATTTGTACTACGGTCCTAATGAACTTCAAGAATATTAATGAAGAAAAATAATTTCTTATAACTAAAAAAAAAAGTTTTTTTGTTGCTAAATTTTTTTTATCTAAATGGGTAATCATTTAAAATTTTCTTGCATACATAGCTTAGGTTATACTATCAAACCCAATAAACACAAATATAAAACGTCGAAACAACGTTTAGACAAAACATTTAGTTTTGATCGTTCTGCGTTCTGAATGAAATCCAGATTAACGTTTAGAACAAACTTTTTTTAAAATGTTGAGGTTTAAACGTGTTTTCGACCTCTAATAAACGTATTTTTGACGTCTATCAAATCTAGAAAAAGCTTTTAGATTTTTAAACATCTAAATTTAATATATACAGGGCCGGCGCGATAGGGGGATGTGACACCCCCAATCAATGATTTTTAGTCGGCAAATTGGACCCTTTGTTGGCAAATTGGACCCTTTAGACTAGTTAGTCGGCAAATGTTGACCCTTTCGATACAGGTTAGTTGGTAATCTAGACAGTCGGCAAATGTCGTCAAGGCAGTCAGCATATTTTGGAAAACGAGGACCTACTCGCGCCGGCCCTGAATATATATATATATATATATATATAATATATATATATATATATATATATATATATATATATATATATATATATATATATATATATATATATATATATATATATATATATATATATTACTATTTTATTGCATGTAATCGGCCGTTCCTTTATCAACCGTTCATTTCATAATCTTACTTAAGAGTCATTATCTGAAAAATTGTCTGAATAAGACAATTTTGAAGAAAATGACTCTTAAGTTTTCAAAAGGGGGAAGTTTTCAAAAGCGTACAGGTTCGTACAAGGGGGGATATTGGGTCCTAAATCAGTAATTTTACTGCCTATGTAATTTATGGATGCCTCCAAAGCCGAAATGCCGAAAAACCTTTTGAGAAAAACTGAATAAAAAACGGAATGAAAGCACTGAAAACCGGTAATCAATCCCCGCATTAGTGTTTAAATTATTATTATTATTATTATTATTATTATTATTATTATTATTATTTAATTTCGTTTACATTAAAATGTCACAGTACAATTATATGCCGTATATATTAAAAAAATTCCAATACCAGTATAATTGAAATAAGAAAAACACTCACATATAAATATCAGCATATATACACTTACAGATGAATAGATGTACATATATATATATATATATATATATATATATATATATATATATATATATATATATATATATATATATATATATATATATATATATATATATATATATATATATATATATATATATATATATATATATATATATATATATATATATATATATATATATATATATATATATATATATATATATATATATATATATCTTCTATATAATATTGCCGAACTTAATAGTTTTAATAGTAGTAGTGTCCCTTGGAGCGTATTTGACACGAAACCCTTGGCAGCCATTGTAACCGAGGTATTGGCAAGAAAGAGTCACAGCATTATAAGAAAACGTGAACGAATATCTAACGTACGTAAACTTTAAACTAAGTAATGTTAAAGCATATGTTAAAACAAACTGAAACATTTATCACGTTTTACAGTTTGATTTTTACTTGAAAATTACATTGCGTCAACCTCTCCTTAATTTTGATCTAACATTTTTTTCCTTAAAAAAATTATTACATTATTATAAAATCTACCCTTGATGATATGCCGGTGTAGCTCGAGTGGATAAGGCGGCGAAAGTCTGAACAAGGGACTAGAGGTTCGACTCCTACCAAAGGCGGCTATTTTTTTTAATTTTTTTAAATTATTTTAAAATACAAAATACTTTCGAAGTTTTATAAAGATTATATACAAACATATGTAACGTAACGATATTATGCACTCACAAAAGAAAAGATTTTAAGAATGCTACAACTTCATAAAACATTTAAAAAAAAAAAAACATCACCAGGAGAAAAAATATGTTGCGTATCTATGATAATTGAGACACTTACGTTATTAATGTGCGAATGTAATTAGTACCCATACAGATCCCGCGGCCAAATCCCGTACGGTTCCCATTTGACATCCCGCATCCAAGGAAGTATAAAACAGATGGAAGTTCATCGAGCTGCAAACATCAAAGCAATTTCAAGTCGTCTCGGGAGTATGCTTGTAACCGACAATAAAAGAAAAACAAGTTTCACTGGATCAAAATTCACTGTAATGATCTTTATTAAAACATCAAAAAATGAATTATTCTAGGGATATGCTGCAAAGTTTTAACATTTAGTAATTGCAATTATTCAGCAAAAGGTTTATTAAAACTCGGTAATTAAATAGAATCACTTTATTTTAAAAGCATATGTTAATTTAAGCTTCTTTCCTTGCTTCAAGTCATAACACGACATTTGATAAACTAAACAACTAAAACAATTTTTTTAAAATCAAAAAAATGTTTTCTAAATAACTAAAGTTTAAAGTTTTATTAGCTTTATATCATAATTCCATTTATTCTTGTAGTACTCCATTCATTTAATATGAAGTTTATAAAAAAGTTGTTTGTCGTTACGTTGCGCCATTTTTAATGTTTTTTTTGAAAATTATTGGCGAACCTTCAAAATACTATATTTTTAAATTATTATAAACGTATTTATTTGCGTCAACGTATAAAGATTAAGCGTTTAAATACAGTCTCGATGTTGTTTTCTAATTGTTTACGAAACAAAAAGTTACAAGCACAGTCCCGAAGAATTTCAATGCGGTTGAACTTCTATCTGCTTTATACTTCCATGGTTCTACTCAGTGCAGTTAAGAAGAGAACGATTTGCATTTCTTAAAAGCAAAAATTTACATTTATTGTGTTTTCCGCTCATTTTCGACTATTACTGTTATATATTTTTAAAAAGTAGAATTTAAGCTTTTCTTATAAAATTTATTATTTTTTTTATAAATCTTTTTTTAACCGAAACAAGCGAAACAAAACCTACCACTAAAATACATAAAATGCAACCGGACAGCGTCATAAAAACAGCTTAAACAAATGTTTTAAGTATTTACAGAAAAATGACTTCGTGTTTACAGCTTTAAAATATTCAATAAATGACTAAAAACCTCTTATTTTATCTTTTCGTAAACAGTAAAAACATTAAAATCAATGTTTTCAAATTAGTTTTCACTCTTAGCAATTTACTGCAATAATCTCTTTGAATAAATTACTAAACAAAAACGTTTCAGTATTATTTACGAGTTTAAAGTATTAAACTAAACCTTTAAACTCGTAGATAATAAAATCACAATTTTGTTTACATTTGTAAACAAAATAAAACAATGAGCTTTGTGATTTTAAAAAAAAAAAAAAACTAATCAAAACGCACACAAAAAAAAACTGGCATTTTTTGGATTAAACGTTATATTTTCCTTCAGATCTCTCCGTAACTACGCTGAGTAGGTCTGCGTTTTTTTCAAAATCGCAAACCTACCTTTGGATCATTAAAAAGATATCTAACCAAAATTTATTGCTACTTTATTTTTTTTACATGTTTTAAATTTTATACAATAAAATTTAAAACATTAATTAAACGCACATGGCAAATTATGAAAGAAATTACTGGAAAACAAAATCATGATTAGGTTATCTGCCGCAGATGATTCCATCTTACCTATATTTTCAAAAATATTAGAAAGAATTATGTATAATAGAGTCTATGATTATTTTCAATGCAATAACCTACTATATAGCAATCAATTTGGCTTTAAAAAGCACAACTCCACGGAACATCCAATCATTCAATTTGTACGCGAAATTTCAAAATCCTTTGAAAATTCCCAATACACACTAGGTATCTTTATTGACCTATCTAAGGCTTTTGATACAGTAGATCACACTATATTACTGCATAAGCTTAAATATTATGGTATAAACAAAAAAACTTTAAGATGGTTTGAAAGCTATCTATCAAATCGTAAACAATTTGTTTCTTGTAAGGATGATTCTCAAAAAAATTTATTAGATATATCTTGCGGTGTTCCTCAAGGCTCTATATTGGGACCCCTCTTATTCTTGATTTACATTAATGACTTAAATAAAGCTTCAAATCTACTTAGCATTATGTTTGCTGATGATACTAACCTATTTCTTTCTAATACTGACATCTCCAAACTGTTTTGTAATATAAATGACGAACTTAAAAAAATATCTAGCTGGTGTAACAAATTAACTCTTAATCCTAATAAAACAAAATGGATTATTTTCCACCCGCTTCAAAAAAAAACGTTACCTACCCATAAATCTGCCTAAAATATTTATTAACCAAATTGAGATTAAGAGGGACTCTGTCATTAAGTTTTTAGGAGTCTATCTTGATGAGCACATTACATGGAAACAGCATATTGATCACGTATGTACCAAGATTTCTAAAAATATTGGAATTTTATATAAATCTAGAGATTATCTAAATAAAAAAAGCTTGACCCAACTCTATCATTCGTTTATTCATAATTATATAAATTATGCAAATATTGCTTGGGGAAGTGCTGGAAAGAATAAGTTGAAACGTCTTTTTTCACGTCAGAAACACGCAATTCGTATTATTAATTTTTCCGATCGTTTTACTCATTCAAAACCTTTATTTAACGAAATGAGAATGCTTAATATTTACGAAGTGAATTTATATAATACTCTATGTTTTGTATATATGTGGAAAAATAACTTATCTCCTGACGTTTTTAAAAATATTTTTACTTTGAAACCAGACAATAAGTATGCACTGAGAAATAATAATTTGCTAAGTCAAGTTTTATGTCGAACCAAGTTTAATCAGCTTTGTATTGATTATCGTGCACCTAATCTTTGGAATAAAGTTATTTTGAAAAATTTTGATCTACCTTCCTCTTTTTCTATTTTCAAAACTAAGCCTAAAAATCTAATTCTTTCTATGGAAAACGTTTTTCTATATTACTAGTGTTATGGGTTTGTCTACCTATTATTAAAACTAAGTTTACCTAAGTATATAGTTACATTGAGATTGTACTGAAACTGATAGCTATGAATAGATGTATAAATATTTATTATTTGAGTTCGTATTGTATATTGCTTTATATTATATATTGCTAGTATGTATAAATTTTTAGGTTTATTTTATCTTTTATTTAGTATTTGAAAAAACAAAAAACAAAAAAATTTTATTACGGTTTTGTAAAAATTAAAAAAAAAAAAAAAAAAAAAAAAAAAGAAATTAAAAAAAATAAAATCAATAAATTATGTATAAATGTGTATGTGTATCTGTGTGTGTATGTATTTATGTATATATATTGGTATATATATAGGTGTATATGTGCTGTTAGTATGGGGGTGTGTGTGCTTGCAGTCTATGTATATTCAAAAAAAAAAAAAAAAAAGAATAGTGCTGCATAACCTCTGGCGTAGGAACACCCAACTATATCTGCTTGGCAATCGTTGGGCTGGATTGGGATTCGGTGATACCACCTATGACCGCTTGTATGGTAAACATGCAAACACAATATATACTTAAAAAAAAAACTATATTAGAACAAGAGCTAATTATCAACAAGAACACCCCACTCTGATTTTATTTTCTACAATTTTAATGCAAGAAATGTTCCATTCAATTATTATTTTTTTTAATCTATTCGATTTATATTAACATCATTAACACATTATGACGTCATCAAACACATCAATAATTATACTGAAGTATATTATTTTTAACTATTCTATGCAACAATTTATATAATTATTTATCGGAACAGATCCAATTCAAAAGCTAATAAACATTTACAAAAAATCAATAAAAATGAATTCATTTAAAGCGTTTTGATTCCAGCGGTTCTCTACGACAAGACCTCAAGGACTTCTTCGAGTTTCCGCATTCTTTATTCGTAATTTTTATTGTTATATATATTGTCATATTTCTATTGTTAACGAAATCTTTATTGTAAATATTATTCATTTCTTTTTTTATGTCTTACGTTTTATTCACAAGTTTTAATAGAAATTGTAGTAATGATTGTAATAAAGAATAAAAAAAAAAAAAAAAAAAAAAAATGATTACAGTTAATAACATTAGTTTATACAATCCAAGAGCCATATCTCATGAATTTAATAAATTTTTTATTGAGATAGGTCCTTCTCTATCAAAAAAGATTCCAAATACGACGTATTCTTTTAATGATTTTCTCGTACCTATGGATAATTGCATTTGTTCCGATGAGTTAACCTCAGAATTATCTTTTGAAGAAATTGAGGAATATAAAGTAGTTTTGATTTCTGTGAAAAAAAAAACAAAGCAACAGGAGCAGATGAAATAAATGGAAATGTAATTATATATTGTTTCGATATATTAAAACATGTTCTTTTTAAAGTTTTTAAAGCTTTTTATTAACCAAGGAATATTTCCAATGTAATTAGTAACGATGGTTATCAAAATAATTATCTTGATACCGTATACGGTATTCCTCAAGGTTCAATCCTCGGACCCCTACTTTTCCTGATATATATAAATGATTTGAATAAAGCTTCCAACCTTATAAGTATCATGTACGCAAATAATACCAACCTATTTCTCTCAAGCAGTAATATATATGAACTCTTTACCACTATGAATAAAGAACTAAAACATATATCAAACTGGTTTATATGTAATAAGCTAATTTTAAATACTAATAAAACCGAATGGACTCTAATCCATTCGTATAGAAAAAAGCGATTATTACCAACAAGCTTTCCACAACTTTATATAGACAAAATTGAAATAAAAAATGATTCCGTTACAAAATTCTTAGGCGTTTATCTCGATGAAAACATCTCCTGGAATCAACATATTAATTATGTTACTACTAAAATTTCAAAAAACATTGAGATTCTATATAAAGCTTGTAACTACCTTAATAAAAATTGCTTAAGCCAACTTTATTACTCTTTTATCCACAGTTACACAAGTTATGCTAACACTGCTTGGGGGAGTACTGTTAAAAGTAAATTAAAACTTCTTTATCGTCGTCAAAAACATGCGATCCGCATAATTAACTATGCTAATCGTTTTACACATACAAAACCTATTTTTACTGAAATGAGATTATTAAATTTATTTGAGCTCAATTTTTTTTTTTTTTTTTAATGTTGATTTAGGTGCCCCAAGAAGTCCTTACGGTCTTATCACAGAGCACCGCGAAAGAGCATTTAATAGGAAGTTCACGCCTCCTTCCCAACCGATGTCGCAAAACTTGTCCAGAGGTGGGGTTTGAACCACGGATCTTACCAAGTGCGCTACCACTGCGAAAATTTTTAATATTTACCGCCTGGTAAATTTGAAAATTTTTTTTCACTTATTTTTTTTCTTTTTTTTTTCTTTGATTTTTTAAAGGAAAATTTACCGTTCTCTAATTAAAATTTACCGGTAAATTTACCGGTAAATTTTACCGGTAAATTTTAAATCAAATTTTACTGGAAAATTTACATCACTATTTTGTATACATAGTTGCTCAATGTATTTACTGTTTTATGTTTTGTATATTTATCGAGAAATAATTTATCCCCTACCGCTTTTAATAATATTTTTAAACTCAAACCTAACAACAAATACGATATGAGAAACATACATTTTTTAAATGAGCCGTTTTGTCACACAAAATTTAATCAATTTTGCATTGCTTATCGTGGACCCCACCTACGGACTAATATTGTTCTGCGAAAGCTCGATAAAACAACTTCCTTTTATCTTTTCAAGCTCTATCTTAAAAAATGTATTTTTTCACTTGATAATATACTTAGATACTTCTGATAATTTGAAAATTGCTATTTGACTTTTATTTTTTAATTTTACTTTATTTTTTGTATGTTTTACTTGTCTTTATTTTGCTTGCTTGTATTTTATAAGGTTCTGACAACAAGATCTTGTGATTTTCTTTCAGATTCTAGCACAGATTAATAGCACTTCAGGGCCGGCGCGAGTAGGTCCTCGTTTTCTAAAATATGCCGACTGCCTTGACGACATTTGCCGACTGTCTAGATTACCGACTAACCTGTATCGAAAGGGTCAACATTTGCCGATTAACTAGTCTAAAGGGTATAATTTGCCGACAAAGGGTCCAATTTGCCGACTAAAAATCATTGATGGGGGGTATCACACCCCCCTATCGCGCCGGCCCTGTATATATTAAATTTAGACGTTTAAAAATGTAAAAGCTTTTTCTAGATTTGATAGACGTCAAAAATACGTTTATTAGAGGTCGAAAACATGTTTAAACCTCAACATTTTAAAAAAAGTTTGTTCTAAACGTTAATCTAGATTTCATTCAGAACGCAGAACGATCAAAACTAAATGTTTTGTCTAAACGTTGTTTCGACGTTTTATAGAAGTTCATGTGTTTATTAGGTTTGATAGTATTTCCAAAAAACCGAAGCTATGTATGCAAGAAAATTTTAAATGATCACCCATTTAGATAAAAAAATTTAGCAACAAAAAAACTTTTTTTTTAGTTATAAGGAATTATTTTTCTTCATTAATATTGTTGAAATTCATTATGACCGTAATAGAAATTGACCGTATGCAATATTTTGACTTTTTAGTGTACAGATTTTCGAAAATTTTTTTACGCGCGTAAATTATTTCAAAAAAATATTTTCATATGGCGTTAAACTATATTTATAATACCATGTAAAACATAAAAAACTAAAACTAACAAAAATATTCTATGTTAACTACTACATTTACATGTTATTTATCATTTAAATTGTAAATTGTAATAAATTTCTAAAGCTTCGTTATAATTTCCCATAGCGTGCAAACAGCCTGCGATATTATTTTTTGTTGTCATTGTATCTGGATGGTTGATACCTAAAATTTCAGTTCGTATTTTATCAACAGAATAATAAATTTCTAAAGCTTCGTTATATTTTCCCATATCGTTCAAACAGCTTGCGATATTATTTTTTGTTGTCATTGAATATGGATGGTTGATACCTAAAATTTCAGTTTGTATTTTTTCAACAGAATAATAAATTTCTAAAGCTTCGGTATATTTTCCCATAGCGTTCAAACAGATTGCGATATTATTTTTTGTTGTCATTGTATATGGATGGTTGATACCTAAAATTTCAGTTTGTATTTTATCAACAGAATAATAAATTTCTAAAGCTTCTTTATATTTTCCCATATCGTTCAAACAGATTGCGATATTATTTTTTGTTGTCATTTTATCTGGATGGTTGATACCTAAAATTTCAGTTCGTATTATATCAACAGAATAATAAATTTCTAAAGCTTCGTTATATTTTCCCATAGCGTTCAAACTGCTTGCGATATTATTTTTTGTTGACATTGTATCTGGATAGTTGATACCTAAAATTTCAGTTTGTATTTTTTCAACAGAATAATAAATTTCTAAAGCTTCGTTATATTTTCCCATAGCGTTCAAACAGATTGCGATATTATTTTTTGTTGTCATTGTATATGGATGGTTGATACCTAAAATTTCAGTTAGTATTTTATCAACAGAATAATAAATTTCTAAAGCTTCGTTATATTTTCCCATAGCGTTCAAACAGCTTGCGATATTATTTTTTGTTGTCATTGTATATGGATGGTTGATACCTAAAATTTCAGTTTGTATTTTATCAACAGAATAATAAATTTCTAAAGCTTCGTTATATTTTCCCATATCGTTCAAACAGATTGCGATATTATTTTTTGTTGTCATTGTATCTGGATGGTTGATACCTAAAATTTCAGTTCGTATTTTATCAACAGAATAATAAATTTCTAAAGCTTCGTTATATTTTCCCATAGCGTTCAAACAGCTTGCGATATTATTTTTTGTTGACATTGTATCTGGATAGTTGATACCTAAAATTTCAGTTTGTATTTTTTCAACAGAATAATAAATTTCTAAAGCTTCGTTATATTTTCCCATATCGTTTAAACAGATTGTGATATTATTTTTTGTTGTCATTGTATATGGATGGTTGATACTTAAAATTTCAGTTTGTATTTTATCAACAGAATAATAAACTTCTAAAGCTTCGTTATATTTTCCCATAGCATTCAAACAGCTTGCGATATTATGTTTTGTATCAGTTGTGAATTTATTATTCTCTCCATATGTTTCTGCATTAAATTTTTTAATACTTTTTAATATTTCGATTGCTTCTTGAAATAAACCTTTAGATACTGATAGAGTTTTAATAGATGTCGTCAACTGATGGAAGGTTTTCGACATTCTTTTTTTGTTAATACGAAACATGAGGAAAAAATGAAACATAAAGTGTTTTCCGTGATCAACGTAAGCCCCCAGTGGGCATTTCGACGTCGAACGAACGTCGAGCGACGTCGGATCTCGACGTCGGATCGACGTTGGGTGTACGTTGGAAATGAAAATGTTATTTGACGTCGGATAAACTGACATCGCGCGACGTCGGCATTCCGATGTAAATCCAACGTGTTTTTTGAAAACTAAGAAACGCTGCGTTTGGCAGGAATCGAACCTCGGCCTATCAGTTACTGAATCCTATGCGCTTAACACTACACCACAAGGACATATTAATTGATGAGTTTATTTTGTAATTTATACTTGTAGCTATTTGGGAATTATTACTTTGATAAGAAATAATTTTGTTTAAATATTATATAAATATTAAAACGAATAGTTATATATTATAAAAAATGTATACTCGAAAATGTTAATAGTTAAAAAAGTATGCTAGTGCATCATACAAAACCTCATAATGTTGTATCAACCTTTATTCAAACTTTTTTCCATTAATAAAAAAACACGCTTAGTTCACATAATTATTGAAGAGCGCAATTGCACACATATTGTTGGGTTTGGATTAAATTTTCATCAGCGATGTCTTACGACGTTGTTCCGACGTCGTTTTAAGGACGTTGGATTGACGTCGGAAGACGTCAAAAGACATCGGAGTACGTTAATATTATGACGTTGCCCGACGTCTTTTTATCGACGTTGGATCGATGTCAGTACTGCGACGTTTTTTGGACGTCTTTTATAAGATGTCGGAACAACGTCAAAATACATCGAAACGACGTCAGGGGATGTTGAGATAAAGACATCGCCCGACGTCATTTTACTGACATCGGAACAACGTCGGAATAGGTCTTTTGACATCGCTGATGAAAATCAAACGTAAATCCGACGTCGGATTGACGTCTGGTGCCCACTGGGCTTTTACTTCGATTAATTCAAATTGAAAATATTTTTCCATTAGATCAAAATATGTATTTGTACTTGAGTTATTATTTTGAAAATATTTACACGACAACTGTGTCAGTTCGTGCATTGAATATTTTTCATCATTCAAACGATCTAGTAAAGAATAACTTATTAGTAATCCAACGGCTTCATCTATTAAATATTTTTCATTTACTGTCATTTGTTTAAAGATTTGAGTGATAAAATCTTTATTTATGCTTTGACCATTACAATAAGATAAACAGTTGAGTAATTTTAATGGAATAATTTTTTTTCTTTCTAATTTTTTTAACACTAAATTGATTGCTTTTATAGCAGACTTTGATTCTTCTTCCGTTGGAAAGTATTCATCATCTAGTATTTCTATAGGATTTGATTTATATCGATCTATATATTTTTGTGTGGAAATTTTATGTATCTCTATATACTTTATTGCTTGAGTTATAGCGAACGGATGATAACTAAGTTCTTTGATTAGGTGTTTTATATTTTCGTCGGTGTTTTCTTTTATACTATTTTTTACGTACTCGAAAGCCTCTTTAGAAGAAAAAACATCGATTAACATTTGATTTACTTTATTTGACCACCTTCTCCATTGAGTTGTAATTAAAGTAAATGATTTCGGTTTCTTTGAAATAAACATTCCCAAATTTCGAACGCTTTCATTGTCGACATTGTCAAAAATATACAGAGTTTTTTCGTTTTTATAATAGTTGTGAATTTTCTCAACAATTACTTCTATATTAAAAGAATTGCCTTGAGAATCTTGAACAACAAACCCTAATAATTCATAAAGATTTATCATTGAAGTATGTAACTTTATAAATCGTGCATCTATCCAAACAAAATGTTCATAAAAGTCATGATGAATTTCACAATATTTTCTGGTAAGTTGTGTCTTCCCGGCACCAGTATAATACTAAAGTTGAGTTTCTATTATCTTGTAAATCGTTAAAATATTGATGAATTTTCGAAAGTTCTTTTTCTCGCATAAAGAACATATCTGCAGTTGGTTGAACACCAAATATTGAACGAACAGTAAGCACTAAAGAAAAAAAAAGTGTATATATATATATATATATATATATATATATATATATATATATATATATATATATATATATATATATATATATATATTATGTCCAATAAATATTAAAAATTTTAAAATTTCAAAGTAAAACACAATAATTAAAGAATATCAACATCGATCGTATAAAAAAAAAATATTTTTTAATAAATTTATTTTTTTATAAACAACCCAAAGTAATATCACAAAAGTCATAAGTAATTATTGTTACTCAAGAGATTACATAAGAAATTAAAAAAAAACTTTCTATTTTAATCTTTAATAAGTATTTTTGATTATGAACAAATTTTAAACCGCTCGTCAAACGCATGAATAAAATAAAATAAATTTTTTCGATATATTAACAAAATAAGAAAGTTTTTATCTTTTATATATAATCTTTTAATGATAAAATTTTAATGATTGCGTATAAATTATATACGCAATCTTTAAAAGATTTTGGAAATCGTTCACTGTAAGATTGGTATTTACTTCATTTAAAATTACAAAATTTTTTTCCACTAAAGATACCTTTCCTACAGACTTTAATTCATTCGTTGTTTAATAATTTAAACGCGCAGGCTGCTAATATCTTAGCGAAACTACTCGCCATTTAAAGACACGAAAAATCGAGCCAAAAAATCGACCAAAAAAGGGATAAAAACTGACTCATTTATAAACATGTTCATTCAAATGAAAGCTGTTTTAACAGTTTTAATCATCCTAGTTTTTCAATTTGGATTCGGCCTCCAACAAATTTATATTAAAACTCAAAGAATGCATGCTATGTACATGCTGGAAAAACCCACTATTAATAAACAAATGAACCATGTAAAAATGACAACTTCAATCTAGTTCCTTTTAACATTTCCGGTTCTTTTATCTTTTTAAAACATTTGTTACATATTTTAATTGCATTTTTATTGTATTTTTATTATAAGATTTCTATTAGTTTAACTTAATTTTAATAATTTGATTTAAGAATTTTAAAATATTTTAAGTGATGATGGCTATGATATAGCCGAAACATGTATTTACAAAATAAATGATTCTAACAAAAATTAAAAGATTTGTCTTATTTATTAGAATATATATATATATATATATATATATATATATATATATATATATATATATATATATATATATATATATATATATTATATATATATATATATATATATATATATATATATATGTATATATATATATATATATATATATATATATTATATATATGTATATATATATATATATATATATATATATATATATATATATATATATATATATATATGTATGTACATATATATATATGTATATATATATATATATATATATATATATATATATATATATATATATATATATATATACTTATATATATGTATATATATATATATATATATATATATATATATATATATATATATGTATGTATATATATATATATATATATATATATATGTATATATATATATATATATATATATATATATATATATATATATATATATATATATATATATATATATATGTATATATATTTGTAGATATATATATACAGGCGCAGCGCTTGACATTTCAAATGTAAAAACAAATTAAAAAAAAAAAGTTAAAATTAAGTACTATTAACTTACATCCATATCAGGAAATATTGGATTAAATAACACAAATCCATCAAGGTTAGGGTCAGGTTTAGGGTATATATCGAAAACTCCTTTTTACTTTTCATAATCTTTATACATATATATTGTGGCTTCTGTATGACAACTAGCCTTTCCGGCTAGTTGATATACAGAGGCCACAATACCTAGGTCCGCAAAGCCAAGTTCGGCTCCCCAAAGAGCGTCATAACCCACTCTAAGGACAAAAAGTAAGGTTACTTTATTAAGAACAAAAATATATTAGACTAAAAGATAAAAGCAGTTGTGTTAGAAAGATGGCATAGAGACAGCGGACAGAAATTGCACACGATGTTAGAAGGTGCAAAACGTACTGTTAATTAGGTTACATAATTAATGTACGGCGGATATAACACATATAAAACTTTTGTTTTTTGTGTGTTTTTTATTATTATTTTATCTTAGGACAGAGTTGCATCCTATTCATTTACAACATGTGTGTCCATTAGACGTTCTTAAAACTTTCATTTTATAGTGGTTCTACATTAACTTTTTTAAATCAATTTTAGTATACTTAAGTTTCTTTACCTGCTGCAGGTACTAGATGTAAACTCGAGTCTCAGGGCCATGTATAGTAGGCCGGAGCCCCCTTTTTTTCCTAAAACCAGCCAAGAGAGCCCCAAAATCTTAAAAACTTTTCCACTAGGTATTACCAAAAAAAAAACAGCCAAAACTTGCAAAAAGAGCCCTTAAATTTGCAAATAGGTGCCCTAAAATTGCTGCTTCTCCCCCATACAGTGTTTGTGTGTGGTTGGGGGAGGGGAGCCTAGCCACGGCTCTGGATATACTAATATTAATATTTTAAAGTGAAATGAATTTTCTTCGTGTTGTAGGTTTTATCATAAATCATTAATAGGTTGAATTTGAGAATGTTAGAATTAGAATTCTAAAATTAGAATTAGAAATACTTTTTTTTTACAAGTAGAGTTTTGGAATAACTTCTTACAACTTTTTTTTTTTTAGTATTTTTTTAAGTTTTATTTAGGTGCCCCAAGAAGTTTTTACGGTATTGTCACAGAGCACCGCGGATGAGCATTTAATAGGAAGGTCACTCATCCTTCCTAACCGATGTCGCAAAACTTGCCCAGAGGTGGGGTTTGAACAACGGATCTTTTGTTTCTGAGGCAAGTACGCTACCACTGCGCCACGGCTGCAATGAAATAGTAATATAATATAAATTAATAAAATTATAATTAATACAATTATTTAGATTTTATTATTCTCTAAAAGATATAATTTTCTCAATTCTTTTGGAATTCAAATTTTTTTTGTCTCACAATTTTGTTTTGATATTTTTCACTTTTGAATTTTTTTTTTTTACAAGTAGAGTTTTGGAATAACTTTTAATTTAAAACAATATAGGAGTTATAGAAGGGTAACTGAATATAGAGAATATTTTTTTAACAAAATAATAAAATATATTAATCACAATAATTTACATAATAAACTTTTTTTATTTAATTGGATAGATGAGACAGTTATCATTTTGATGTATAATCATATAAAGGTATTTCTCCATTGTTACTTTTTACGTTGTTGTTTATTGTTACTTAAAACAGTATGTGACCAAACCACTACTAATCCGGTGGTTGCCAAACCACTGCTAATCAAGTGGTATCCAAACCGCTGCTAATCCGGTGGTAGCCAAACCACTGCTAATCAAGTGGTAGCCAAACTACTGCAAATCAGTGGTGGCCTAAAGGCATGTCTATCCATTTTTGATGAAAACACGTGAGACTCAAGCATAAAAAAATTGTCATAAAATGTTGTCTTTCCTGTAATACAGTAATGAGAAAAAATAATACTTCCTTACCAGTTGTAGTATAGGTTGTCCTTAGCACTTAGCTTCATATCCTGTAACTTCAGGGGTTCCTCAAGGTTCTGTCCACGTTCCTACACTTTTTTTGTCAACATCAACAATCTCCCAGAAACTTTCTTATTTAACTCTGATTGTTTAGAGACTAAGAGACGGAAAACTCTGATTGCTTGGAGTCTTAGTGATGGAGAACTCTAATTGCTTGGAGACTTAGTGACGGAAAACTCTGCTTGCTTAGAGACTTAGAGACAGAAAACCCTGATTGCTTGGAGAGAGTATTTGAGCTTGAAAAGGCTTCATGCTACAGCATGGGGCTTTTAGTGGCTGTCGAAATTCAACTCAGATAAAACTCAATTTTTTTATAGCTATTTATTATCGCAATAATCTAGATTTACCTATACTTAAGAAAAGTAATGTACTTGATGAATCATCTGACCTTTGTCTTCTAAGATTAAATTTTATTTCCAATCTTTCTTGAAAACCAATCAATTCCAAAGTTAGCAGTTTTAAGTTCAGGCTTCAAATTGATGTTAAAAACGATAGTTGATATATGTATATGTCATTTTTTTGTTTTATGTTTATTGTTGTTTATTATTATATTGGGCCTCGAGCTTGTCAATGAAAATATCCAAGGGGGGTTAGGGTATGCATACCACCCCCAAACGCCACACCACCCACCCTCACCAGAATCTTAAAGTCCTTAAATAACTTACAAATGAAGGACTTGTTTCTTTTTTAGAGACGCAAATGTTATGCAGAATTCAAAAATATTAAGCATTCAAACCCCACCCATCCCACTATAAATAGCTGGATCCGTCACTGATAACTTGTTTTAAAACTGGCAACACTACCATATTTTATGGAAAAATATTGGAGGAAAATACTTGATCCATCGAAAACTCTTGTTTAAAAAAAGCACAGACGATTACAAAACATGGTACTCTTTCGTTCTAGCTTTATTTACTTATAAACATTATGTTTGTCTGATCAAAAGATAATTAGTAACTTAGTAGCTGAGTGGTTTTGAAAAAAATATGGGATTAATCCATTAAATGAAGGTATTATTTTCAAACGTTTGCCAGATAGTAATAAAACATTGAAACAGTATTTGCCAAGCAATAGTTGATGTACTTTAACAATTGTATCATACTTAGGTGAATGAAAAATGATACTCAAAGAGAAATAAAAATAACTTTTAACCTTGAAAAAAGTTAAAAGTTTCTTTTCAAAGATTTTTTGGCAAAATGTAAATATATTCAACTAGTATTGTCTGTAAGTAAAACTAATGTAAAAAAGACTATTTTTTATGTTGGTCTTCTTAAAAGATACTTATTAATACAAAACAAAAAACCAAATGAGTGCTTGTTACGAAATAATATTATATTATTTTAGCAATAATACATTTATGTGAAACTAGAATGTTGTTTTTATAAATTTTAAAACAAAACAATGTGTTTTTGAATAGGTTTTGCTTTTACAAAATATGCATTCAAAGGTACACTATTTGTGGGATAACTTTGAATGGCTAATTAAATAAATATTAGAATATACAAAATAAAACCTATGCAAAATCCTTTTATTTGAATATTTTATTTTGAACTTGAATTATGTAAGAGTAAATCTTAGCCACTTTATTCATTTTATTAAATTTCAAATATTATCAATAGAGAAGGAAGAGCAAGTAAAAATATTTTAAAAACGTTCAAAGTAATATAGGGGAATATTGCGTATGTTGAGCATGTTATCAGTGTATTGTTCTTTTGCAGCCAAAATATTATAATATTTATATTTATTTTTGCTGATTATATTAAATTAATCTTTCTTCTTAAAGAATAAAAAGGAATAGTTCATTAAAAAAAATTCTTTTAACCAAAACTAGCGTTATTTTCAACCAATCATCTCATCTTAGGAAACCAGGTTTCTAAGATGAGCTTTTTTTAATGGAACTCAATAAAACTTAAAATAACAAAAAAATAATCAAAACAAAAAATAAAATAAAATTGTATTTTCAAGAACTATACTTAAGTAAAAATTGATTATCTCAACCATAAAAAAAAAAACAAAAAAAAAACAATGATAATAAATCTTTCCTATCTCTAAAAAAGTTAACAATACTATTTTTTGAAAAAACTTTCGCTTTTAAAACACCAAAATAAAGCTTCGTTGAGAATAACTTTAAAGAAACGCACTTTTCTTAATA